CCCCCAATCCAGCCAAAGAAATCGACCCCGTGTACAGCCTCCTCAAATGTGCCGCCGACCTGCCCAAAGTGCCCAAGGCTCAGAAAGACATCCCTTGCAGCGGCCATCTTGGTGGGCGGGGCGACAGCAGCGGAAGTACGTCCAAAGCCTCGAGCCCGTCTTCCTCAGGTTTGCCCAAGTTTTGAATTTATCGTTCCTGTTCCGCCTCAACTATGTTGCATTTTTGGATGTTGTACAGAAAGTTGATGATTATTGTTATGGTTGTTGGATGTTGGATGTTTATGAGCTGTCCAGTTACGGAAGTCACTCCTAAGGTCAGTCGGTTTGACAGTTCCCGTTGAGCCATTCAATTCGGGGTTTTTGAATAGTGTAAGGTGACTATTTCAAATACATTGTAATATGTATATAATTATTATATAACTATTTGATCATGATATATTATGATCTTTAAGTTCTAGAGCTAGATTTCGAGTTGCCTCCTCCATTCCTAAAAGACACTTCCCGTAGTGACTTGGTATATATCGCACACAATATATGCGACCTGTACAAGATTTATTTCTGTAAAGGAAAACCCAAAAAGGAATTGAATCTGTAATTTATAGATCCTCGTGTAAAGTTGACCTCTGCCTGTAACCCTGAGATTGCTCCACGTGAGTGCCCAACATTACCTCCCTTGATAGTGCATTAACTACTTGGTACAGACAGCCTAACATCGAGTTCTCTAACCCTTGGAGTTGACGATAAGTGTATAGTTTGTTCCACTATGTTCAATTTTGTAAAAAAAAAAGTATTTTGTACATATCTACAGTATGTATATGCCCTGTTTATCGCATGCTCACACTTTCTATTGTACAGAATTTATGTTTCCTCTCTCAACCCGCTTCATTCGCAGCTGCTGCTGATTTTGGTTTCTGGTTTTATGTAATTCTTTCTCCATCTACTGTTTTTTATCCGTATTATTTCGTTTCGTTTATGAATACGTTTCTTGGATTGTGTTCACTGTTTTCACTATAATAATATTATTATTATTATTGTTATATCTCATCAAATGTAACACTTTTTTTTCAAACTCTTCACATTTTTTTTCTTTGTAGTTTTCTATACCCATTATGATATATCTTTGCTTGGTCTTGGGACACGCTTTTACTGCCAAAAGTGGTCAGTGGTGAAACTATAAGCCCCTACAGAAATTGAAGACGTGCGTTGTAATATATATCTTTGACCGTACACTAGCGGATTTTCGGTTCACCGTGACCCCCCCCCCC